GGTGGGGGGGGGGGGACAGGGGGGAGGGGGGGGGGTTTATTAATCAAGGGACTACATTACTATAGCCGGCCAAAAACGAAGCGGTCATTCACAGTTCCCAACCCTTGAGCTAAGCCCGCGGACCCCGGAACAGGCTCCCCAACTCACCCATAACAGTAACATCCCTCACCATCGATTCACCCCTGAAAGCCATCCGAAAGCGGGCATCCGCTGCCCCTGGCCCATCCTTCAAAGAGCCATGGGGACGGAAGCACCTGCGACGCGAGCACCGTCGAACAATCGTCGCCGACCACGGCCCCCTCCGGCGGGTTGGGGCGGTTGGGACCAGGAGCATGTCAGTGGAAGTGCTTTTTAGACATCACAGGTGCGAGGGCGAGCAAAGCCTGACGAGACGGGTCATGCAACAAGATGGGAACCAACCCCCATGCAGGGTTTACCATGGCATGAGGTCTACCCTAGCCTTCAAAGACCATTAAAAGAACGGTTGAGCTGGTGGTGTAATGTAAAAATCCTTAGCAAAACAAGGGGTCTTTGGTAAAGACCATAAAAACAATGGTTGTTTGAATCCTAGGGTCTATGTTTCTTTGCTTTCTTGCTCTGGCGACAAAAACAAGCCAAGTGGTCTTGGATCACGGCTCTGTGTGAAGGTGGACCTCCGGAAAGCAGCTGCATCTGGGTGTCCTCCCAAACTGCCCGTTTGGAACTTGCTGGGAGCCAAGCTGTCCAGGAACCGGACTGGCTCACCAAGGTCTTTCGACCTTTCCTTTCGAAAGGTGGGTTGACCCAAGATCCGGACCATGACAAGACCATCCCATGGGACAGCAGTTCAGGTTATATAGTTATGTTATACACCTAAATTCCTGTACCAACCCCCGGCCCAGGGGTGTCTATACACCTAGCCCTGAAAAGAGGTGATTCGGAATGTCCATTGACCACCCCGACCGTGGGTCCTAGTACCTGCCTTTACCCATTTTTGTTCAGTCTTTACCCATCTACCGGTACCTCTTCCAGTCCCATTACCATCGCCAAAACAACCCTACTCACCCGCCTTACCATCACCACGGGCGTCCGCCCAAAAGGGTGATGTTGTTGAACGATCCGGATGATGTCACAGGTAGATCATGCATCTGGGGGATGGAGTCATCGACCAATATCTACCCCACTTCACAGGTCACCTCCGGCGTTTTCTCCAAACCAGACCCTTAAGACCTCCGTGTCCGAGACATCTTCGCGGTTCTCGGACACCACGTGTTCGGAACCAAAAGGCGGCCCAAACGCGCCGCCTTAAACAACGGTTGCGAGGACAAGGCAAACAGGTTGTAGGTATGTCAACATGCACCATCCCAAGTAGAGCGTGAACATAAAACAACTTTAAAACTGAAAACATCAGCGAAAACCACATCCCAGATAAATTCTTCAACATGTCAATCCTTCAACACATCGTTACATCGCCAATTCATCCGCCTTCCTTCACAAAAGGACGCGGAGTGAACATGCTTCCCAATCTCCCAAAAGTTCCAGTTTGCCCCTGATCCTTCCTGAGTGAAGTCCTCCCATCCGCTTGCTCCGTTTGCCCCCTGCGTCTTCTCCTGAACCTCCGGATTCCGCCGGGCGGCTGAACCTCCGGTCGGCCCGCCGGGCGGAGACTGAACCCCCCGAATCTTCGGCATGGGGGGCGAAGGACGGATGAAACCGGGCGCCTCGCAGAGAGGCATGCCCTGCAAGAAGAGCGCTTTGCTCTCCACGCGTCCTGAGGACACCCGTCCGGTCTGAGCGGTGAGAGACGATGAGAGACGTGGTTGGAGCTTGTGGTTGGAGACCACACTTTGGGGAAGAAGAAGAGCACTGAGCACTGAACTAGAGAGAAATGTCTGCAAAAGATCGTGTGACAGCGCAAAATCGGTCTAGACCCAGGACCCACTGGTTGAGAGGGGTCCCAGTTCGATAAACAGCCAAGTATACAGTTTACAGGCCAAACAGGCGCGCATTTACCAGGTCGTTCCCCATGATGTGCTAATCAGCTAGTCAAAAAAATCGCAACATATGGCGGAGGTTGGGTGGTAGCTCCTGTATCCTCGCAGGGGAAGGACAACGCTGATAGACATACTGTGCGTTGCAAGTGGCACTTGCTGCGATGTACAACTTCCCCCAACTTCCTTGCAGCTAGTCAGAAGCTTCAAAGGTGCCTCAAACTTGGGGGGGCCAATGAAGACATGGCCTCTTTCTCAAGGATCCAAGTGTTCGTCCAAGTGATCGCAGAATGTTTGCAAAACACCAGGACATCCAAAATTATGCCCAGTGCATCCCAGGCAAACCACGAGTACTAAGGAACCAGGGACTCGTTCGGTCTATGGCTTTAGTCTTTGGAACCACTGGTTACCAGCTATAGTGGTTTGCCTCGATGTGTATTAAAAGGACCTTCAGTGCCATTAGTGTTGGAAAAATAGGAACTCCAAAACCGCCCCCAACACTTTTAGTTATCGAGTCCCCCAAAACCGCCCCCAACACACCCTTCTGGCCCCTTCCGTACGCGGCCGCTCCTAGCTGCAGGTTCTCCACCCGTTCGCTACGTTGCAAGACCAACTCTTCACCTGAGGAGAGGGATACGAGTGACTGAATTGATAAGAATTGTAGTAGTACGTAGTCAGGTCCAAAATTGAATGTATAGGAGATCTAAAAATTCTTACAATTTCACCTATTTTTAAGAACGGTCGTACGAATGGTCTGATCCAAGTCCTGGAATTTCAAGACTTGACTTGAGTGGTGGTGTAAAGAAAAAGTCATCGAACTGGCCTTCCAAAGGGAGACTGAAGGCACCTGCACCTTGACACGTTCGTCCAGACACTACCTGTCTGGGACTGGGCGGACTGCCCCACAAAGACTCCGACTTCAACCAACCCAACAGATGTAAACCCAAGAGAGGTTAAGTGACCTTATAGAACGCCGGTTCTCGCGTTCTCGTGGCCGGTTCCTTTGTGGGCGGCGTGACCTCAGAGCTCGTCGCCTCCCTCGATTGGGAGTCATGACTATGAAATCGTTCACCACCGGTCAACGTCCTCTCCAATCATATGATGACTCCCAATCATATGATACTCCCAATAATGATAGCATGATTCAGCAACATCGTTCCTCATATCCCACCCAAAACGCATTAGTGATGTTGCTCAATCATGCTCAGTCATGCTCGAAAAAAAACGCTTGGTCGGTTGATTTGGAACACGTCTGACTTCTGCCCACGTCGTCTCGCCCGACCTTCCCACGGTTCCCTGCACGGGTCGGCGAAAACGTGGGCGAAGTCGGGACAAACGAAGGAGATCCAATCCCAGACACCCCCCCGGGCACTCCATAGGACTGCCAGGACGGACTGCCGCCCCAGAAAGACCCCTATATAAAACCACCCCTGGCCGTTTCTCGGCAGTCCTATGCCAGTCCCATGGAGTGTTTGGGCTCCATATGTGTGCCATAGATATGCCGATCCATTGGGGTGGTGGTGATGGTGCCCATGGAGGTCTTTCTGGGGGCGGCAGTCCGTCCATGGAGGTCTTCCAGACAGTTCGTATCAACATCCAGTCGATCGGCCTCGACCTCTTAGACGCCAGGGGGTTCTCTGGTCCTGTAAGACGCCAGGGGGGGGCCCCAAACGAGACGCTTTGATACCAGGACACCCTGACTTAAGGGGCGTCTATGTCCCTAGGTTCCCTCGAGGGCTCGAGGTGAAGAAGGGGGGAGACCCATTCACCACCCCATGCCGCGCGTGGGTCCTAGTCATTGGAATATATTATGTACAGCTGTTGACTTTTGAGTGCCTAAATAACTCGGCCTCATGTTTATGGCATATATCCCTAGACTAGACTTCCGTTCGACCATTCAAACAATGGGAACGACCTGGTGTTTGTAGTGTAAAATCCTGGTCGTTGATTCGGGATGACCCGCCTATGAACAATGAATGGTGGGCCAAGGAAGCCTATCCAAGAGAGGTTAAGTGCCCTTATAGAACCATTCTGGGGTACCGAACTGGGATAGTCTAGTTCAGGTCCTTCAACCTCTGTTGGATAGGCATATGGTGCACGTCTTCTTTGGGTTCGGAGGGCGTCTCTCCGGTCTCTTGCGGGCCGACACCGATGTGCCGGGACCGACACCGATAAGAGGTGTCTATTCGAAATAGCCTCTTAACAACAGAGGTTGAAGGGCCTGAACGTTCGACTATCCCAGTTCGGTACCCCGGGTGACGGGTCCTATTTACGGTCACTTAAGCTACCTCTCTCGGTAGGTCTGAAGAGGTGATTCGGGGTGTCCCAAAAGACCACCGGACTTGGTGCCTTCGGTCTACCTGGCATAGACCTGTCTCTTGCAAGGGTTGCCAGAATTTCTGCCAACTATGGATGAACAGGCAAGAAATTCGGAAGATCCAGGTATTGTAACCCAGACTCACAGTCAAGACCCCTCCATGAGTTCAGTGGGCCCTCCGTGAATCCTCGGGTGGTTCGGGGTCCTTTGCCCTTCCAAACCGATCCCTATGGTGTTCGGGGCCGACCGGGGCCTGTGAACAAAGCGTCTGGGAAAACACACACAAATGTTCACCCACCAACAGAGGTTGAAGGACCTGAACTAGACTATCCCAGTTCGGTACCCCAGAAAGGTTCTATTTACGGTCAGTTAACCTCTCTTGGCAGGTTCTCCCGAGACGAACAACGATGTCTCCATGGTCATCTCCATCTGGTCATCTCCATGGTCATCTCCATGGTCATCTCCAATCGCTCCAACGAGGCACAGGACTTCTGCGTGAAGAGGAAGGTGGGTGGCGCCTGCAACAGGAAGCCCAACATCGTCGCCTGGCACCCCACGTCTCTGCCCTTGCCCTTGATCCGATCGGGCGGGAGGCGGAACATGCAGGGCGGAACATGGCAAAACCAACCCCATACACTCGGAACTGCCAGGACGGACTGCTGCCCCAGAGGTCGACCCCCTATACTTCCAAACTACCACCCCTTCTCGGGCCGCTTCGGCAGTCCGTCCAGCCCCCGACACGTCGTGGTCGCGCCGGGTCCAACCGCACGGACTGCCGACCCGACCCAGGTGGAAGACGCAACTGTAGTCCACTGTAGGGTCTGGTTTTGACCCACCAAGAGAGGTAGGTTAAGTGACCGTAAATAGGACAGGTCACCTGGGGTACCAAACTGAGATAGTCTAGTTCGGGTTCTTCAACCTCTGTTGGCACATCCATGTGGCCTCCTCTATGCCGGTCGGAGTGGCGTCCTCGTCTCAGTCCAAGCGTGGCGGCGATCGCGCGGAGCGGAAGCGGCGATCGAGTTGGATGACAAGGAAAGCCCTAGGGCGCCCTACAGGTCAATGACCTCATGAAATACTGGAGTTGCTCCACATGGAATTGGGCGCAACCAGGTGCAACTTAAGCCGTCCACCCATGTTCGCTGCCGTGCATCCCGACAGACTTGACACAGGCGCATGCCGGAGAGTGATTCCAGTAGGATCTTCTCAGACCTGATTCCCAAACGATGGTGGCCACCATCCAAATACACCCCTTCACTGATGACGTCTGGTCAAAACTGGTCAAACAAATGGTGTCATGAAACTCATGAAACATGAAAATCTATTGCAACATCATTGAACATACTAGATAAAGATGTTTCATGAACCGACGTCTGTTTCATGAACTCATGAACTCCTTGAACATCCAGATAAAACACGTCCATCGATCGCCTCCGAACTCCGTGGCCTGACTCTCACTCGTGGTCTTGCTCGGCTGAAATTCCAAGTCCAAAGAGTTCTCAGCCTTGGCTGAGGAGCTGCTCCGCACGCTGCGAACTAAGCCGGGCGAAGAAAAAAACACGCCCAGATCCACCAGAAAAATTACCAGATCCAATGCATCTCCACTGACCAGGTGCGGGATCCGGAGTTTCTCCGTGGAATGCAGACTGATGGGATGGGATGCTCTGTGAGTCTCACAGAAGTCTCTGGTTCAAGAAGTTTTTGGTGCCAGAAAATGTCGGGATGTTTCAGGTGGCTGGAATTATTCCAGACTGGACTCCATGGCGCAAAAAAACGACCCGTCTCAGACCATCCATGTGTGGAATAGATAGCTATAGTTTTCTCTGAATGGTCATTCATAAATGGGGTAATGTCAATTATTCCATCCATGGATGGTTTTTGAACAAATATCAATATTGCCCTCTGAAATCAAACCACTTGGCATGTGCCCCCCCGGACCCATCGGTCAAGGGAAATTTTGTCAATTGGTTCCAGGCATCAGCCGAAACTTCGATCCGAAACTGCAAAGCATCACCACCCGGTTCAATCGGAAGAGTGACTGCTCTTTCCACATTCTGAAGCTTCTGAACCCACACATCAAGCACACCTTCCGAACCGCCCCCCCAGCCACGTGTCCTAAAGCATCCTAAACAAACGTCGCAGGACATCGCCGCGGGGTGAACACCATCGCGGTCTACGAAGACTTGAAATTGATGGCGTGGCATGGGGTGAGACGTGGCGTGGTGGTTAGGCGTGTGTCAGCAATGACATTGTGACACTCCAATGATTGCACCAAAGAGTCGTCACACACCAATAACAGTCGTGTTCCACGTGTTCGTTGTTCCTTTTTCGCGACTGTAGATGCAGCTGCACGGTCCCATATAGGCTCCTTGCCAATGCGAAGATGGCCGTGGCTGCACCTAAATCTCAGTTCAATGCAAAGGCCCACAAGAAGTCAGCACCGATAAGGGTTACTTCCGAACCAGAAATCGGGCTCCTTCGGGCTTGCAGCGCGCTATAAGGCGAACTGCGTCAGCAAAAGCAGAGCAAACCCTGCGCTGATCTATGCCAAGATGATTGACAAGGCAACAAGGCCAAACGGTCATGGTCTAGTCTATATATTCATGCCACGGTATTTCTCCGGGCGCGCGCAGGCGATCGCATTACTAGGCCGCTAGGCCCTGCGCATGTGCGCAGCTCTGCTCACTTCTTGTTCGAGCTCTAGCCACCTCTTTCCGCGCTTACATTTGTTTCTGACTGCCCGGCATGTACTTCAAGTAAGCCGCCGAAGTGCTGCTGCGACTGAAGAGCACCTTTGCTCAGACTCTGGAAAGCCACCTCGCTTGGCGCTATCTCGAAACATTCGTCTCTGCTTGCCCAGCACGTACTTCAGGTACTCGCCGAAGTTCTGCTGGGACTCTGGAAAGCCACCCCACTTGGTGCTTTCTTTGCACACTGGCACTTTCCTCTCTGACTCGTCATTTCCCTGCATAGGCCTGTCTTGGTCTCCAAAGTGCTGGATTAAGAGAATCCGTGGAGTTGGAGTCAATATAGGTGAAGACACCGTCGCAAGCCAGCGCCAACTTCCAGTCAAAAAAACCAAGAATCAGAACCAGTAAGCACGGAGCAAAATTGGGAGTCAGCTAGTGCTTGGATGTCCCTGTTATCATGATCCAGTGCGATGAACTTGGGCTAGGACACCAGAAGCTCATTGATGAAACCAAGGGTTGGGGGTGCAAAGACAGCCTCAGCCACAGGAGGCAATCTCAAAGGGTCTCTGGATGCTTTAAAAACTCTGCTCTACCACAACCCTTCCTCGCTGACCTCAGCTTGGACCGATTGGGTCAAGCGGGAGTCAGTCTTGGATTTTGCAAATGATAAGAATTCCTTGCTCACACGAATGTTCACGAAGTCCTTGTGAGTCTTGCCTTCCACCACATTAACGTCCAACGACTTCAACCAAGACACCCGATGTCTTGGAACTCCGTGTGCAACTACGTAGATCTTTTCTCTCTTTTGAAGTTTGGGCTTGGATTGTCGTGAACGTGCTCACCACCGCCTCAATCATGTAGTTGGCTGTGACTATACCATTTGGGGCTGTATCATTATCCTCCACTGTAGCACTTCTCGAGACATCATCCCAATGCTCAATCTCAAGTTCCATCCCACACTTCTCAAGAATAGAAGCATGCCAAGGTAGCATCTCTCTGGCGAAATGGGATTGTGACACAGTCGACTGTCTCCATCCTGTGCCTCCACATCAGAATGAGTTCTTTGAGAGCCGCAATGTAGTCCTTCTTGTCTTTGGACTTCAGCAGCTGCATCCTGCATCCTCCATCAGCCTCAGCTCTTTGGCGACATGTCTTTGCCCTGCTTCTTCAACTGGTCTGACCCAATCTCCGCTTGCATTCTCAGGAATCACTTCTGCCAGTCTGTGATTCACCTGCGGTCTCAGCATTGGAACATGTCTGATCTGGACCTTGACATCACCTTTTGGCCCACAGCAACTGAGACCCAAACCTCCTCATGCGGTGATCATAGATGGATTGAACTGTGCCTGTACCATCTGCGGGTCGTCCTGCCATGCCAGTGACATTGTCATACTCAATCTGATCTGCCCCCAAGCATTGCTGGATTGAGACGTCTGAAGGCCTCCGGGAAGATGTGCAAATATTTGAATGCTTTGACTTCAACTTTTGACCACGCCACATCCAATGGTGGCGAGTTCTGCACCCAACGTGTCGTCACGCTTGTAGCAGCTAGATGAGAGTATCCAACCATCACGTGGCCAGTGAACAAGCATCTTAGGCACTCCAGGCTCATCACCTCTTTGCCCGAGAATAATTGACCCTTGCCCTTCAATGTTGATAGATGTCCAAGATGCATACGAAGCAATCGAGTCTATCTATCACACTTCGCGTTTTCTTCCAAAGATCGTCTCCTTGCTTGGTTGTCCTTGCGATGATTTGTCGTCTCAGCAGGTCATATGCTATCTGGCCTGCCAATGAATCATAGACGTGGTTAAAAACCCAATTCAGCAGGTCTGTTCCAGGGAGACCGTGAGGCATACCCTGTGCCCACTCGTGCACAACTTCGTCTGGAATAGCCCTCCGGGGAAATGAAATGACTTGCACGTTTGTGAAGCCCCTTGAGTTTTAGTTTGTTTGCAGGTGGCAAACTGCAAAGTATTGCTGGGGCAATCAATCTGCCCTCATGCAACCACGGCATGTAAAGACTTCGCCAAACTGTTCGGTTTCTGAACACCTTTCTCCGTCCAAGGCAGTTCTCATTCCCGGGAAAGAAGGGCTGCCTGTTTGTAAGGACTGAAGTTGGCCAGAGCATCGCATGTTACCAACTCTACCCCACACACTCCATGTATGCAATGCCTACGTTGACCCCGACTTCAACCACCCGAATGTATGTAAATATACCATCCATGGAGTGTTTGGGTACGGTGGTAAAATATCCACTCAAACCTTAACTTAAAGAAAAAAACACAATTCAACTCTACGGTTAACCTCGGTGTCTGAACATGTCGTCGGCACGCCGCCCGGTCCTAAAGGAGTCAGCTAAATCGGTGAACCAAGCCATGATTTCTTGAAGTTAATGAATGAGTTTCACTGAAGGGAAAACGCCCTAAGAATCCGGGCCATCAAACACCTATAGGCTGGGTTTGGTTCGGGTCTGTCTTCCCCCTGCGTCTTGAAGGTCCGGACTCATGGAGGGCTACGGATTCTTAGGCTGGAACACCATTTGCGACAAACAAGTCATTCCTCAATCCGCGGTGGCGATGGATATCCCTAAGGATCCGCCTATCTTGGGCATCTATGCCTATTTGCCTATCCCGGCCCAACGTCCAGTCTGACCCCGCAACACCTGGTCTTGGAAACCTCCTTAAGTATTGGTCTTGTATGATCATCTGTATTTCACGAGGTCAAATGGACTTGTAGGGCGACATTGTTGGTGTATTTGTTTGGTGGTGAATGTTGGTCAGACGGCATGCCGTCCCACCATGGATCGCGGCCGAGCTGCAGAGCGGAAGGCACTGCTGTAGCTCCAGCGAGTGAGCGTCATCTCCTCCGATGACCACCCAGTCACATTCGGTTGGACCCTAAAAGGGCTCCAAGAAGATGCATATGCAACGGTTTTACTATGAATGACTCACATATTTAACATTATTTAACAAGTATCCACGTCTTATTCCATATACAGTCTTAAATGCAGTGTTCCGAAGTCCTATTCTACAGTTTAACTATGCTTTACTACTTGACAATATATGTGCAAACCCTTTTCCAATACCAGGTCCCTCAATGTTGGGTCTATCCCTACCACCCAGTGGACGATGATGGTTAGGTTGCAAGGCTTGTTGAACAATAGTGATACACCTTGACCAGCTGTTACTGGCAATGGGACAGAGCATACGGTACATGTGTACGTTCCAGTCATACCTTCTGAGAAAGCTGTGATCTTTCGGTGGGTTGCTGCCAACAACCCTCCATTTGTACCACGCGGGTATATGTTTTGAGCCCTAGGGTGTATGGAAGATTGACCTACATGGACCATCTGGCCCTCCAAGCATCTAAAAAAAGACACATCCAACCCAGACGGCGACGTCCGGAATTTCCGTTCAGTAGGGGGCCGGACCCGAATCCGAACTGGGTCAAGGGGTCCGGACCTTTGAAGCCAATCCCTATAGGGTTTTGAGGGACCAATGTCTGGGAATGTGCAAAAGATCCAGTCCCTCATGGATTCCAGTCCGGCATCGTGACGGAGTCAGACGACTAGACGACGGAACCTCCCTCTGCGGTGGACGGTTTCACCCAGTCACCTTCCTGGAGATGCACTGCTGCTGGACTGCATTGGTGTCATGAGGTCGTGAGAGTCCCGGTGCTTCTGAGCTGCATCTGGACTGCATATCCCAGACACGACCTGTCTGAAAGACCCCCATGGCCCTCAGATCGGCAGTCCGTCCTGGCAGTCCCAGACAGGTCGTGTCTGGGTATGTGGGCTGCAGTCCCAAAACGTCGGACTACCAACAAGCCACCCGCCACGCGGTGGCCGTATGGAGCAAGAGCTCCGCCAGGCTCTTGGGGTTGAGGTCGGTCCCCGGCTCTCAGCGGCTGCCGCGCCTCCGCCAAGGCGTAGGTCCGCAGGTCCGCGGAGCGCGCCAAGGCGCGCGGCAGACCTTGGGAGTCTTCGAGGACCTGCAGGGCGCGTCAAAAGGCGCGACCTGGACCAAGAGAGGTTGAACAGCCTTAGGGCGCCCATCCCAGATGTACCACTACAGGGTCTAAGGTCTCTCAACCTCTCTTGGGATGGCTTCAAGCCTAGCCCATGCCGGCAAAGTACCGGCAGGAGCTGAACACACGACTGGTGCGAGGGATTCTGGGACTGGAAGAGATGCCGTCTACTATTGACCCCCTGACATGCAACCACCCCAAACACCCCCACCACCCCCGCCGTGTTTCCCAGGAGTCGTCAGGACTTAGCCAGTCCCAGACGCGGGCTGCCAGTCCGGACTGCCGACTTTCTGGGGCGGCATATGTGGCAGCCCCATTAGTCGTATATGGGAGTAGTTTTCCAGGTCGTGGAGTGTGGTTCCATGGTTCGTTCCATGGTTCGTTCCACGTGTGTCGTTTCGTCCAAACACCCTCACCACTCGAGCTCTTGGGCGAAGAAACGGGTACCAGGACCCTGTGTCTTTCAATATCCTCCCATTCCAGGTGATTTCAGGTCCCAACACCGCCGGTGCTTCAGGGTTTCTTTCGGTCCTGGTACTCTTGATGACTAAAGCCCTCCGATTCGGCCTTTGGGCTTTTCAATCCATGTCCGGGGAGCAGTCAGGGTCCTGCACATGTAGCTGCTTCAGGGTCCTTCGGGGGCTTCAGAGGGCTTCGGTCCGCTCCGAGGCTAAGATCCAGTTCGAACCCGCTGACTCTGCAGTAAACGGACCGAACACCTGTACCAGCAAACTCTACAGGTCTCCGAAATGGGTTGGGAAGGGCCCTGTTGCAGGTTTCCATCGGTGACCTGTGAAGGTTGGTGCTGGTCCCTCCAGTCGACATTCCCCCAAAAGCGCCCACTGTGGAATTCACGCTTCATCCCAAAAGCACATGACTACCAGGAGTCACAAAGGGGTGGTTTTTGTCCCTAAGTGAGTGGACATCCTCCAATTGGCACCCCCCTGTGACTCGTGGTATGCATATATAGTCAGTGACAATCGGCCTCCAAAGACCTTCGTTTCGATGGTGTTTCAGGAGGGTCCAGTCATACCTTCTCATGCAGTACGACTGGAGCCCAGGAGCGTGAGCAACACTGCTTGCTATTGCGAAGGCACGGGTCAGGTCTGACTGTAGAGTGAAAAAGGTGCCTATGACGAACTGCTCTCAGTTTTGGTCCAAAGTCCTGCTTATTGCTTGAGGTTATTGATAGTATTTTAGAGTACAGGAGTTAGATGTATACTTACTTATAGATCTATTGAGGCAAAACATCCTGCACTCGCACTCAATGTACGTGGGGCGTTTGTACGTGGCAAAAACACAAAAAAATTGGCCATTGCGAAGGCGCTCTTCTTTCAACACTGGTGTTCATGGGCTTGGCTTCGGAGCTCGGAGCTTTCCTTTTTTCATCCAAATCACCTGTACCCAAACGCTCCAAACAGCCCTTGGGTCCCTCAAAACCCTAGGGATTTGAGGGTCCGGACCCCTCCAGATGAGGTCAGAACTCACTTCGTCTCGACGATCCTCTCGGCTACCCCTCATGACGGGTCCTATGGCCTAGTTCAGGTCACTGAACCTCTGTTGGAGACACCCCCCCATCCGTCGCGCTCTCTCCGTCGCATGCCCTAGGGTCGGCACCTCCAAGGTCAAGAGCGTCTCCGCCTCCGTCGCATTCTCCGCCTCCGGCCCGTGCGCCACGGCGAGCCTCGAGTGGCGTCCACGCGGTTCGATGCGGGGTGGAGACAGGGAGTGAGAAGACGAGCCGCAAGTGAGAAGACAGGAACCAAGCCCAGACACTCCATGGGCTGCCATATATGCCGATCAGTTGGGGTGGTTTGGGGGGGTCAATGGGGCGGCAGTCCTATGGCAGCCCCATTAGTCGTGTCTGGGAAGACCGGGTGGAGGAATTCTTGGCGAGCCTTCGCACCGTCTCATCACAGTGGAGAGAACACATCACCTTTCTGGATCCCTACAGGGGCGATGGGACGATGAGGACTGCCGTGGTGGACGAAAAAACCATTTCGAGTGAGAAACCTTTGGTCCAGAGGGGAAGATGCTTCTATTTTCACCAGTGCACTGTTCTTCAGAACGTCGCTTGCTGTGCGTCTTGGGAACTCACAAAATTTAGCAAGCAAGGCTCCTCCAAAAAAGAAAACTCTTTGAAGTCCCACCAATAAAACCAGCAGAGGTTGAAGATCACTTCACCTCTGTTAGAAGTCCCTCAAAGTCTTTGAGTCTTGTTCTCACACTCACGCCACGCGGTCGTTCTCCGGGCTTAGCCCCAAGGCTTCTCCCGGCGGATGCCCGTTCTGGGCCGTTCTCTTGTGGAGTTGTGAGTTTTTTTTTTTGCTTTGTTCTACGCAATTTCGCAAGGCCCAGAATCCTCTAAGCATCCGATGTCCGATCAGCAAGGAACAGGGATTCCATTCAATAGGAACTCCAAGATATATATGAATACAAATGAATCATTCAGTTGAATATTAATATTACACCCTGGGAGTCAAAGACTGCAAAAGAAGTGTCTTTAGGTGACCCGAGTTCAGGAATTTCCTTTACTTCAGTCAGTCAAAATATAGTCTTTGGACTTCTAGGGTTACATATAGTCAATACCAGCACCCTCCAACAAGTCTTGTTCTGGTGGCTGAAATACAGACTCAAACCTCGCAACCGGTGACCGGTGAGGTCGGGTGCTGGCATATGAATCATTACATTATATTACATTATATTACGCATTCTTCAATGAATTCAATATAAATCATTCATTCAGCAAGCAACATCTTCCCGGTGTCTTTGGCATCAGGCTTCTTCGAAGAAACCCTTGATGGATCTTGCGCAATATAAACCTCCCCAGACATGGACTGTAAGACCTCTTCAGGCTGATTGCGGGGTTTGAATTAAGATTCCACCCCTTCCCCGATCCTCCCCCCAAAAAGAGTGCTGAACACCTTCGTCGAGTTCAATACAGTAGCGTCATATGAATACCTCGATGTTCCCTTCCCAGACACGACCTGTCTGGGACTGGACGGACTGGCGCCCCAGTGACCCCCCCTGGCACCACCCCAGTCCTATGGCAGCCCCAGACAGGTCGTCTCTGGGCTTGTGTTTTTCGTTTGATCCCCTTCACTTCACACGAGCGACCTGTCCTTCACGACGACCTCTCCCTTTCTCTCAGGTCCGACCGGAGCAAAACACGGACCGACGGACGACGACCGGTCGTCCTCGGACGACCGGAGCTGCTGCCCGAGCGTCTGTAAGAGATAGCTCTTCAGCGGGGCGAGGGGTGCCTCGAGGCCTCAGCCCGCCCACGTCCCGGTGTCACACCGACCGAGTGGTTTGGGGGCCGGAAGTCGAAGATTCGGGGCGCCCAATAGGTCGGGGCGGCCGAAAGGAGCCCGAAACGAACGAGTTGAGAGGTGCTAACATGGTGCAACTGATTGTATGTTCGTGTGGGGGGTGGGATGACTGTTTGTACAAGATGTCTGGTCGACTTCGGCACGTCTCCTTTTCAAACGAGATGCTGATAGTGAACACAAAAACACGACAGGGCTCAGGGCACCATCCAAAACCCGCCCCGCTCTTCATCGCTCGAACCGGGGGGTTGTTCGATGCTCGTCCCATCACACCGGGAACTTCGGGGGTTCCTTCGGGTCAAACAGTGCCAAGAGAGGTTAAGTGACCTTATAGGACCTTACTGGGGTACCTATGGGATAGTCTATAAGGTCCTTCAACCTCTGTTGGTGATTCGAAAAAATGCTCCTGCCCAAACGCGACCCTGGACCCTCCGTTCAGTAGGGGTCGGACCCGAATCTGGAGGGGTCGGACCGCGGGTCTCAAATTCCAAGGTTTTGAGGCACCAGTCGGGGTGTGAACGGAGCGGCTGGGGGAAGAGGTTTGTTGCAAGATGTTCCAAGTATTCTGTGATCTCTGGTATTCTCTGGCTCTGTTTTGTAAGGGGGAGAACCAAAATCCCCAAGTCTTGTACTCCTGTCGAAACTATCTGAAGAACTCCGGGGTCCCTCTCTCTTCGAGAGAACATCCATGCAATAAGAACACCTCGCACATCCTGGAAACGCATGGAACACCACGGAAATCCCGAAGCCGAAACGGACCGTTTGACCATCCTGAACCTTGTTTGAAAGGAAACAAGACCAAGAGGGGATGGTCAACATTCGACCCTTCGACCCATCCCGGTCGCAGAGAGTTCACGACTCACCACTCAAAAGCCATTCAACAAGTTCCCTGTCGCCTTCCGTTTGGTAGTCTCAACTCCTTGCTTATACCTAGCGCTTCCTGTCGGGGTGCCCTGTCTGGAAACCTGTTTACGTAGTGTGGAGATATCCAGCCAGGTGACCCCTAGCCCGGAAGCAGGTGGTATATAGCGAGGCACTTGTTACTAATAGCTTCTTGTTACTACTAGTAAGGCACTTGTTACTACTAGCGAGGCACTTGTTACTACTAGCGAGGCACTTGTTACTAGAAGCTTCTCGCTAGTAAAACCATGGGTTCTTCATCGTTCTTCCGACAGGTAAACACGCTTAAACCCGGCTGGTGGACGTCTACTGCCTTCATCACCTCACCTCAGTCCACCTCAGCCAGTCCACGACCCTCGATCAATCTCATCCGAGTCAGCCCGATCGATCTCCCTTCCCATTCACCGAGTGGCTCAAGGTCACTTGCTCCTCCCCTGCCCGAGACGCAGCAAAGAGTAAAAGAAGAAAAGCTGGCCCCAATCAGATTCGGACTCAAACTTCCCTCTTTTTTTTTCAGCGCAAAAACAATGGGAAGCAGGGCGACCCATCACCACGGTTTCTCTTCACCCCTTCTGGTCGCCGCCCTCGCCTCCAGTACAACCTTCGAAGCTCGCCAGCAGCAAGGAGTCCGCGGTCGACGCGGTCGTGCCCTGGACTCCGCGGGGCCGAAGAGGTGGTACCACTCACTTCCAGGGTATGCCTTCAAAGATCCTTAAAAGAACAATGGTTGTTTGAATCCTAGGGTTGTTTGAAACACTTATACCGACTTATACCAGGACCTGCACCGACACCTGGGTATATAGTGAAACCGACACCTGAAAACGCGGTACCTAAGCCGCGAGGAAAAAGGGGCAGGCAACACGGGAGCAGCAGCAAGGAGCTGAAAGACAAATCGCGACTTGAAACACTTATACCAGGATCTTCCAAGAGGTGTCTATAAATAGCCTCTTGGAGGTGAGTCGAGGTGGCCAAAAACCACCGGACTTGGAAGGTCCTGGTATATGGTCCTCAAACAGATAGAAACGGTATCCAAATGTATCCAATACATGTTGAAAAAGGAATGTTTTTTCGATGCTTTCTATCTCGGGGGTCTATACCAGTCGGAATGTGCCTGACTTTCAGGAGATTTCATCTTGGCAGCCTGCTTTGCGCCACATCATGGCTCACCACTCTATTCACCTTCTCTTCTTCTCATTCGCCGGAAAAAAGACGTGACCACCGACTTCAAGAGCCGACATGGTACCGGTTGCTGTATTGAAACATGTACCTTAATTTCTTCAGAAAGCCCTCAACTGGAAGCCAGTTCCAGCAAGAAATGGACATGATTCAATTTATCCAACCGCAAAAAGTTTGACTTGGTTCAAGCTCAGAAACGGCCCCGATCTCCTAAAGGGCATTCTTTGGACCAAAGCATGGGGGCTCCCTTGTGCCTGTCAAAAAGTGAACATGCGCCCGGCACCACGACGAGAGCGCAGTTGAGAAGAGCTCGCCACCAGCAGTTTTACGCGAGCCTGTGCAGGTGAAGTGCACTTCGAAGAGATCGAGAGGCATGAATTGCACCGTCCATCGTAGCGAATTCGCCGGACACGCCGATGAGCACCCCTACCGCACGAACCCCAGCCTGAACCCCTACCGCACGAACCCCTAATTAGTGTGGTCACACTGTTTGGGGATTGAAAACGGCGTTCCCTGCAGCCTTTTTGGGGCGACGGCCGCAGCTGTCCTCGCAGCTGGACATGAAAACCCACACAACCAGGTTCCGTGGCGTCGACAAGCACCGCGGGTTGAAAGGCGGAGCTGCGCCTCTTCTTCCAGAACTGCAGGCACCTGCCGTCAACAACTTGGGTTTGCGGCAGGATACAGCTAGCCGGACCCGAAACCTGCCAGATCACCACCTGCGACTGTCTGGGTCGTCTGGGTCGCCAGTCGCCACCCTTCGACTCGGCCTTCCTGTTTGGGGTCCAGCATGATCCTGCTAGTCGCTGCATGGAACGCTTTTGAGGTTGAGGCGGTTGAGGGTTAAGATCTGAACGAACCCAGAGTAATTATACACACGTCCCATTCGGACGGAATCCTCTTTTGACGTGGGTCTTCCACTTCCAGCTTTGCATCTGTGCCACTTTGCTTTGGGCCATTTGCACCTACGCCGTACGCTGTCTAAAACGGGCAGTCCTACGCCGTACGCGTCGGACCGGTCCACGGTCCGGAATCGCCGGAGGTAGGGGCGGAGGTCGGGTCGGAGCAGGACGGATCCAGTTCAGATCCATGTACCAGGAGTCACGTTCGACGGGGTGGTGTTTAGTCCCCAAGTGAGTGGAGTAGCTGGGCACCCCAGCCACCTCCATGGATAGCACCCCGTCTTGTGACTGCTGGTACCAGCACCTTCATTACGGGGTCACGAGGCTGGTTTCGCCCCAGCCCACGACCTACAGGGACCTCCAGACACAGCCCGAAAGAAGGTAGAGGTATGAAAGAGCCACAAAAACCACCTGGTCTTTTACAATGGATTCTTGGAGTATGGTGATCTTCCAGCATCCAGGGTTTGCTGAGCCATGCTAAGTCGCCACCAGTCCAATGGTTCTAATGGTTCTTGCCAACCCCCTGGCCAGGTACTTGGCCGGGTAAGAGTCCAGTGTTTTTCTCCAAAGAGGAGCTTGCATCGGCTTGCCCTCTGCACACCTAGATCTTCCATGCCCACTTTGAGCCACAACAAGACCCCCTCAGACCCCTGACCCAAAGCAGGGGATGGTCGAGCAGTCCAAGCGAGGGGTCATGGTGGGTGTGCCCATGTCCGCTCTTTTCATCCCAGAATTGGTCCATCTGTTTCTTCCCGGTGCTCAGAAAACGCTGGCTTAGGCTTAGTAGCTCGATGCTTTGAGCAAGTTCGGCAGAATTCCGTAGGTTGCTACACCAGCACTCGAACTCTATACTGGTCTCCAAAATGGAGGGTGTTGGGGGATCGGCCCTCCTGTTGGAGGAGGTCTCAATTGGTGGCCTGGCAGAACCCTTTATGGGATGAGCCAGCCTGATGGTGGACTGGTGAACCCTGGTGAACCCCACCGTTCAGACCTACAGGTCTGTTTTGTGGGATGCAGGATGTCATAGGACCTATGAAGCCGGAAGTGTGGCTGGAAGCGCCTATTTGGACAAAGAAAGATCTGATGTTCGCCCCTCCGCAGTTCCTCAGGATGAAAAACCCTTCCCAAAACTCCTTTCTCCTTTGCACCAATCAACGCTCGTCTCCCTTTCACGGCCTCTCCCCATGCTCCGTCGTCCACGCACGTCGTGCACGCCGCGCACTCCGCCTGTGTGAGATCCCAAGGACTTCGCCACTGCTGCCGGCGCAGCAGCGACTGCTGCCAAAAGCAGCTCATGAAGCGATGGCTCGGAGAAGAGGACGGAGTCTGCCTGAGGTCCACCGTTTCCGGAAATGAACAGCCCAGACGCGACCCCGACCACGACGCCCGACCGGTCCCGAACCAAACCCTATAGGGATTGGCGAGAAGGTCCGGACCCCTCCAAAGGATTCGAGTCCGGGCCCCTACTGAACGGAGGGTCCGGACGTCGCCGTCTGGGAGGTTCATCTTTTATCCCCCTGAAAGGTCCGGAGCAAGCACGGCTGGGATAGGGGGTGGAGAGGAATGTCCGAGGATGGAGAGGAGTTGGTGAGTTGGATCGAAATCATGGTTTCCCCAAAACAGCATGCAACCCCAAACGATCTCCATCTATACAAGACCCTTCCTGAGGTTCCACACGTTTGGAGGTCGAAATCGACATGTTCCTCAACTCTCCTCTGCTGCTTCCCATGGGGCCGCTTCAGCTCGGAAACTGGCCACCTGTTGGACTTGAGGTGAGGTGTCCCCCCTGCTTGAGCAGCCTGTGAGCCCCTTAAGCCAGTGGCCCCGGTGCGTGCCCCCATGCCCTATGTAGCTGCGCTCTCTAGCTCTCCAGCCTTGGGTGGTGGTGTGGGCATAAACGGATGTTTCGTATTCCCAATCCAGCAGAGGTTGAAGAACCCGAACTAGACTCTTGATTAATAAACCCTCCCATTTGAATTGGACATGCTCTTCATATGGGGGGTTTATTAATCAAGAGTCTATCCATACCCGTGGTTTTCCGGGTCCTATCAGGTCACTGGCTACCTCTGTTGGATCCACCCCTAAGAGCTCTTTCTCCACGCACTTGGGCCCCATTCACCGTTGGAGAAGCCGTTGGATTCGTGCGGCCGTGCGGGGACCTCTCTGGAGCTGGCATGGATGTGTTCGCGTAGGTTTTAGATGGTCTTTAGACAGATGATGGAGGTCCTTCGGTTAAAACCCACCCACATCTGGTGCCACCTGTGCCATCTTTCGCTGAAACCTGTGTCCATCGGTATTTCCCCGGAAGACCGTCGACGAAAAAGGTGCGCTTGCGATTTGGTGTTGGGGAGTCTCAAACGAAAAGGGCGTGAAAAGGCCTTGGTCAAATAAATGATCAATGATCAACAAATTGGTTGTTCTGAATTCAGCAAATCGGTGGGCCCCGTCGGTGGGCCAGGAATTCGAGGGTGTGTTCCCCTGCCCCAAGAATTCCACGCGTCACGCCGTTGAGCGGCCAAGAGAGGCGAAGCTTGGAGCTTGGAAAGGCTTGCGAGCCCACGGCGAAGATCACGAAGAGCAGTGACCTTTCGGAAGCCAAAGCAGACAGGTGAAAAAGATCCCCAGCCATGAGGTCAAGCCAATGATTAGAGGAATCAGGGGAGAGCTGTCTTCGACCTATTCTCAAACTTTAAATTAGTAAGATCCTGGTTGTGACCCATAGCCCTATGGAGTATTATGTATAGATACATGGATTCCCTGAAATGAACCATATATACCCCAAAACCGTTTCTCGGCACCTACATACCATGCCAGTCGAATAAAACATCATCTCCTCACGTCGGGGGGGAAGAGGCACTCCGATCGCCGTTCGCGGTCGGTGCTTCTTCTTGGCGGAAAGGGTCAGCAGTCTGGGCCAGTCGCTGCCATTGGTTTTGATGTCTGCCCCCCCCTTTGTCCTGTACCGTGAGGCTGCTGCTGAACTCGGCACATGTACGCATGAACCCATTTTGGATTCGGCGTGGTGAACGGACAAGACAGTAATTACCTTGATTACCTTGATTCTTGGTGAGATGCTCAGAAAGCCCAAGCAGCCCTTCCATAAAGCTTTTCCTGTCCTCCTCCTCCTCCTTCTCCTCCTCCTCCTCCTCCCAACGCCGCTCTCCGGTCTCCGCTCTCGCCAAGGCACTCCTGTCCGTAGTAAGGCCGTGGGCAGTGGAGCCACACCGGGGTCAGTTCCCGCGCCTTCAAACGCACCATCGAGGCCGAGGACGAAATCCTCGGGCGTGCGTGGCTCGTGGCACGTGGTACGGCGCGCGGTGTCAACGCCAAAGACCAAGAATGCGTCTGTGGTCAACACCTCTTTTTGTGGCTTCCAACCACTTCATTGGTTGATGTTGTTTGAGTTTCTTGACCCAAAAACCCTTGAATCTCAAGAAGTTTTACCATGACAAAACACCAATGTTCAACCTTTTCGGTCTTGCAAGACTCCGGAGCAATAACCACAGCAACTTGGAGTAACCCACCTTCACTTGGATTTGCTGTCCAACCTGGGAAAAACCCAGAGAGGTAGCCAGTGACCTGAACTAGGACCTTACTGGGGTACCGAACTGGGATAGGCTAGTTCGGGTCCT